GAACGCCACAAAGACATGCCGAGCATTTCTCCAGGCCATTGTCATTCAAGCCCACATCGGTGAGACTGGCCTTTGTCTGTGCGTGTATTGTACACTGTGGGTACGGGTGGGGCTCTGGACATTGTCGCTCCGCGTGGCACGGCCACGGTGAAGGTCGGTAAATCGGCCACGACCTGACTGCTTGCGGCCGTGCGTGCGCCACGCAAGACCGGTGCGCCAACACACCGGTTTCGCTGGATTACGACACGTTGCTTTGCATTTAATCACGGTCTGCCTGCTTGACCAGCGCGGCGGCTGTTTACCTTGATCGATAAGTGGGATGACATATGCAAATCCGCTCATTATGTCCGTGCACCCATCCAGTCACAGCCTCACTGACTGGCGGCCTGGGCAGATTGTGCCAAAGTCCAGTGCAGCATGCCGGGCCCGAGCGCCCAGCCGCCGCTCCGATACCAGACACGGGCGTGAGTGCGTCCCGACCGCGGGTGTTTATATTACGGAGCGGATGATCAGCGTGCTATGGCATGCAACAGATCCCCTCCCCCGAGAGAAGCCGTCCAATCTGCAGGTCTGGAAAATGCGGCGGCACCAGGCGACCACGGCAGCGGATGTGAGAGAATCGTTTGGTTGGCACAGCCTGGAGCGTTGGCTGTCGGTGTTGCTACGCCACGGCACAACAGTCCGTAATGAATAGCGATATCAAGCCAGCGATATGGCATCGATAAAAACGGCAACAAGGTGCACATCTCACATCATCCGCCGCCAGCTCTACAGCTAGGCCGCAGGGCACTGTTCTGGCCCGCCCACCCCCTCCTAGAGCTAACCACACGCCCACCCTCTCCCAGAGGTGACCACACGCCCACCCTCTCCCAGAGGTGACCACACGCCCACCCTCTCCCAGAGGTGACCACACGCCCACCCTCTCCCAGAGGTGACCACACACGCCCACCCTCTCCCAGAGGTGACCACACGCTCACCCTCTCCCAGAGGGGACCACACGCTCACCCTCTCCTAGAGCCGACCACACGCCCACCCTCTCCCAGAGGTGACCACACGCCCACCCTCTCCTAGAGCCGACCACACGCCCACCCTCTCCTAGAGCCGACCACACGCCCACCCTCTCCTAGAGCCGACCACACGCCCACCCTCTCCCAGAGGGGACCACACGCTCACCCTCTCCTAGAGCCGACCACACGCCCACCCTCTCCCAGAGGTGACCAACACGCCCACCCTCTCCTAGAGCCGACCACACGCCCACCCTCTCCTAGAGCCGACCACACGCCCACCCTCTCCTAGAGCCGACCACACGCCCAACCTCTCCCAAAGCCGACCACACGCCCACCCTCTCCCAGAGGTGACCACACGCCCACCCTCTCCCAGAAGTGACCACACGCCCACTCTCTCCCAGAGCAGGCCACACGCCCACCCTCTCCTAGAGCCGACCGCACACCCACCTTCTACCAGAGCAGACCACACGCCCACCCTCTCCTAGAGCCGACCGCACACCCACCTTCTCCCAGAGCTGATCACATACACCCTCTCCCAGAGCTGACCACATGCCCACCCTCTCCCAGAGCTGAGCACACATACATCCTCTCCCAGAGCTGACCACATGCCCACCCTCTCCCAGAGCTGACCACATGCCCACCCTCTCCCAGAGCTGACCACATGCCCACCCTCTCCGAGGGCTGACCACATGCCCACCGTCTCCCAGAGCTGACCACATGCCCACCCTCTCCCAGGGCTGACCACACGCCCACCCTCTGCCAGAGCAGACCACACATCCACCCTCTCCCAGAGGTGACCACACGTCCACCCTCTCCCAGAGGTGACCACAAGCCCACCCTCTCCCAGAGCTAAGCACAAACACACACCCTCTCCAAGAGCTGACCAAATGCCCACCCTCTCCCGGAGCTGAGCACACACACACCCTCTCCCAGAGCTGACCACATGCCCACCCTCTCCCAAGGCTGACCACACGCCCACCCTCTGCCAGAGCTGACCACATGCCCACCCTCTCCCAGGGCTGACCACACGCCCACCCTCTGCCAGAGCTGACCACACAGCCCGGCACCAGAGCTGACCACACACCCGCGCCAGAGCACGGCGGCAGCCAGGCTGTCAACGTCACCGCGCCGCTGTCCATCGCCTCGCGTCCACGTGGCCGGCGGGCAGCACACACTTACAGAGCGGACGGCGCAGCGTGTGCCGGCTGCCCAACGACTCGTAGCCGGCCGGCTCGAACATCTCCACCGCGGCGGCGGGCTCACACACACGCGTGCACACGTGGACGGCGGGGCGGGCGGCGCGGCCAGACTGGACTCCGGAGGAGGCGTGTCCCGGCCGCAGCTGTGTCCGCCGCCGCCGTCGCCGCCGCCGCACCGGTCACGCCGGCTGAATCGATGTCGCCATTGATCGGCGCCCCGCCGGTCGGCCGGCACGCGGGCTATCGACCGCGCGCGCGCAGCACCGCGGCTCCCGCCGCCCACTCCGGCCGGCACCAGCGCCGGCACCGGACACCGCCGGCTGGTGACGCGGCCGCGGCAACGGCCTGGCTCGCTACAGTCACTAAGTGCTGCAGCGTAGCTCCCTACATTCTCCATCCACTGCCGTCTGGCTCTCTACCTTCAGCGCGCGCTGCAGTATGGGCCCTGATGTCACCTCTTGCTCCCAGCGACCATCACGCGCTGCAGTCTGGCTCTCTACTATAGGCCGCCACGGGAAAACTTACTCTACCCCACCCAACCCCTTCCCAAGGGGCTGTCCCCAATCCTCCGTACCGCATCCACCCATTTCCCAAGGGGCTGTCACCATTTCTCCTATACTCCATCCACCCACTTTCCGAGGGAAAATTTCCCGGTCGCCAACAGATACCCACTCCTGACGTTAAATTATTCCTGACCCCTTCCCCACCCGTTTGCGTTCTGCGGCACCACTAGGTTTGTGATGAGAAGCTCCAGGAATCTCTACAACCAACTTACTGCACGCGTTGCTAATTGCAAAAACTGTGCGCATGCGGTTCGCTATGCCTAAAAGTAAACCCAAGCAGTAGCACTGTATAACATTTTTGAACTATCTGCCCATTTCGTACATTGTCATCGTAAACAGCAGCCTGGCTCTCCACAACCATGTGCTACAGACTGAAGACAACAGCCTGGCACCCTACCACAGCCATGTGCTACTGACTTGCTACCTATTGTCATCGTTAACAGTCTGGCTCTCTATTACAGCCATGTGCTACGGACTGGCTATATCCATTATCACTAGGTTCAGCGGTGTGATCATCCACCATGATCATGCGCTGCCGCCTGGCTATCTACTGTCTCCATCCATTGCAGGCTGACCATCTACCGTCACCATGCACTAGTCTGGCTTTCTACCGCCGTCATATCCCACAGCCCAGACTTCTGTCGCCACCATGGCCCGCGGTTCGGACTGCCATCGCCACCATCTCCCGCAGCTTCGGACTGCTGCCGCCACCATGTCCCGCAGTTCGGACTCCTACAATCACCATCTCCCGCAGTTCGGACTGCTGCCGCCACCATGTCCCACAGTTCGGACTGCTGCCGCCACCATGTCCTGCAGCTTGTCTCCCAGCAGTTTCCAGTCTGTGCAGTCTGGCTTCCTCACGTCACCATGTGTCGCCGCCATGGAAACCTGAGCCGGTGAAATCGCAAAGGACGCTGGCGAACTGGCCCGGAAGCGCCCGTGACACGTGGCTGCCAGCGGCGGCCGGGCGGCGAAAGATGGTAGCGACTCGGCTCCGCGGGAGACAGGCGAAACTCCGCGGAGGACGGGCAAAAACGGCTCGGTAACACAGCTGTGGCACCGGCTGCACGACAGCGCTGCGGCTGGACCGACGGCTTGACGACAGCCGGGGCGTGGGGAGGGACGATATCTCAGGCTCACCTTAGCGAGTAAACAGCGGCTGGTTTTATTTGAGCCCGTTTGCTGGCCTCTAAGTTGTCGAGATAGGCCTCCCTCGTTAGCCGTACCATCATTTATAAAATGGAAAGGAAGCTTATTACTGGGGCCAATTGCCAGTGGAGTAGCAAATGGTTGTTTGAGCTCTCGTCACACCCAAAAAGGCCCGGGGCAGCGATGCTACGCTGCGCCCGGATTTTCACGCTGGTTTCACGTCTGCATCCATACTAGGACAGGGCATCTACAACGGACCGTTGAACGTGGGATGCATGCAGGCCGTCGTCACATTTGATGCACGGCATTAATTCAGCCTTAGATGTTATTCAGCAATTATTGCCGTCGCATCTTTCTACGCCTTGCATAACAATTGTACATCACATGAAAACGTGCCAGGCGGTCCGTCCCGAAGATATTTTAGCGCAGTCATTCGGTACCCAACACATTTAGGCGGTCGCAAATCAAATACCCACGCAATGCTTTCACGCAAAGTGGCACTCTCCACGCAGCCAGTCTAGCCACATAGAAATGTGATTTTTTACCACCCTACTTCTGCATTAATTCAAGAGCACATGATGGCGGTAAAGACAACTGAAAATGTGGAGGAGGGTGTTCGTCTTTTCGATAACAATTATACATGGTTGCCATCGAAAACGATCTAGTTAAACTGCATTAGACCCGCCATTATTTTGTTGCGTCCGTTAAAGCGAACTCCAAAGATAACCAGGGTAAGCAAGAGCACACTAGGCTGAGCCTCTCTGTTTTCATTCACGTCTAGTCGGAAAAAGCAGCACTGCCAAGCCTAACAGGTGCTGTGCAAAAACACGAAACATTACCAGGGGCATACGAAGTGACACAAACCGGGGGTAACCTAGTTACGTTCTGAGGAGTACTCTTCCGCTTCTGAAGCGAACAGAGACGGCACAACTGTCGGCCCAGCCGCCCGGCCCCGTGCCCCTTGCGCTGGGGGCCACTGGGAGCCGCCGGGGGCCGCCGGGGGCACCGCCGGGGGCAGCAGGGGCCGCCGGGGGCAGCGGGCCGCCGGGGGCAGCGGGCCGCCGGTCTGGAGTGCGGCTCACCAGGCGCCGGCGGCGGGCGGGCGGCCGCCTCTCGGCTGCGGCCCAGCGATCGGCCCAGCGTGCCGACGCGCCACGAGCGGCCTGCAGAGTCGGACGAGCCGGACCGGTTCATCGCGGCCGCCCTGTCGACAGATGGTGCGTGTTACACAGGCACGACAGACACATCGCGACGGCTCTGGTCACCATGGCGAGGGCGCATTGCATGTGAATGTTGTGGGCAAGCCTTAAGGTCTTTCTTATTCTTGGCGCGATTAGACAATTCTGATGATTCTAAAGCGACGATTTTCAGCCCTTATCAACCCAGAAAACCTGGAAGTTTTACCAGTTTTGCTGCTTACTGCCGACCGCACCGTTGCTGCCACACAACACGGCCGAGCGTTGTGTGTGGTACCCGCCTCCAATCGAGCGCGCGTTAAGGTCAAACCGCCACTGCCACACCACACGAACGAGTGTTGTGTCTGGTATCCGCCTCCTATCGATCTCGTATCGTATCGAGGCCAGGCAGTGCAGCAGTCTTGCCGCATCAAAAGCAAACTAACGGTTGAACGAAATCTTCAAATGAAACGGGAAAGTGCGCACCAAGATTCTGCACATCGAATCGAACAATTTTCCGGTAGACCCAACGCCTTTGACAGCGCTTCCGCTGCACAGTAACGCAGCGCCAACAGCCAGTGATGGTACCAGATGCAACCCCCCCCCCCCCCCCGGCATGTTCCCTGGACACCTAGCTATCTAACCAGCATTGTTGACAGACCGTCCTCCCTAACAAATGCACACTGGACATAAGGTATGCAACCAGACCCGCCAGTATATGACATACATTACAAGCATACCAGTCATCGTACTTAACAGTGCTGTACAGGATGTCACACTGTTCGCTAGTCCTAGCATGACAACCAAGCATTGTTCATACACTCATGGCCCGTGCAATGGCATGCATTGATGTGACACCGAACCAGGTCGCCGGCGCTGTACAACCGGTCACCAACACGGTGTAGAGCATGCACTTGCCGACAGCGGCAGCGGTGTGGCAATATTTGGCCGCTTGGTCGGCAAGGACGTGGATGTTTTAAATGTTTCTGCAGCCCCAGCTGGGGTCACTGTCCGTCCCCATGCCCTCGCTAGGAATTGGCCACTCAGCATTGAGCCGGATGGCGGTCAATCCAATTTAGACGCCCCGGGCTCGGCAAATCAGGCCAGAATGGCAGGACAGGTCAGAATGACAGGGTCCAAGGTCAACAGGCAAAGATTAGCAGCCAAGGAAACGCTCCGTGGGGCGCAAGCCGTCATGGAGGCAGGAGTCTGGAAGTGCGCATTCATATCTGCATCATCGGCACCCCGCTGGAGCATTTGCAACCATGTGAAGCACGCACTCACGCACACACACACACACGCACGCACGCACGCACGCACGCACGCACGCACGCACGCACGCACACGCAGCTGCAGCGCCCGCAGAGAGCAGGCCGCAGCCGCCGTGCACACGGAGCCGCGGCACGGCGCGTCACGCACTCGGCGCCGCGCACGTCTGACGTCACGCTGCACAGCATGACGGCGTCACTCCGCCCCCGTGGAGCCGCGTCCGGCAGTAGCGCGTCCGGCGGGCGGCACGCGAGCCCCGCTCGCCGGGCGCCGGCAGCATGCGGCGTGCTCGCGCGTCCGGCCGGCCGGCGGCGCGCCGCGCGACACACAGAGCGGCAGCACGTGCACGGGCCGGGCGCCGCTGAATCATGCCCGCCAGCCGCTGGGCCCTCTGAGTCAGCAGCGGCAGCGGCGGGGAGCACTGACGCAGCTCCCGCCGCCCGGCCCGACCAGTGCCACCGCTGCGGACACCCGACGCTCACCACTCCTCGAGACCAGGCCCTTTGTGACAATCTAAAACAGATCACTTCTTGCAACCTCCTAGTTACCAGTCCTTGAGCATTACCTATATCATTCCTCAATGCCCCTGCAAGACCATCCCAAAAGCATTTGTTCTGAATTGTCACTGCCTAAGAGATAGGTGGTCCGAATTTGTAAGCAGTTGGAGAGAAAGATCATTGTCCCAAACAATTGCTAAGTTGGACTATGAACAGAAAATAACCAAAACAGATCTAAAGATGTGAGAAGTGGCAAATTAAAGATTACATAGAGCACATATTTTTGCTCACTATATAAGTTTAATAAATCAGTGTGATCATCTTAAAATATAATTGCTCCTGAATTTACTACTTCTAGTTTGCATAAAGCAGAGATTGTCAATCATAACTAGCCTGTTGTCAGGTACAGTTAGAGCTGCTTTAAGCTCAAGGTGCTAAGTTGTTGAAATGCTATGATGCATTTTTGTCTTCATTTTTCCCAGGCGCCCCCAGTATTACCATTGCCACTGACAGATGGAAGCATTCACTTACTTTAAGGGTCTTTAAATTTAACTAGGAAACAAATTTTCAGAACTTTTTGCATGCAATCCAGTTTTTGACCATATAGTAATGCATGCCAATAATATGACATTGTCCTGCATGGAGAACTAAGACCCAAATTGGTAAGCATATGCAAACTAACACACTTTATGTAACAGCTTTACAATCATGGGACACAGAATCATTTCTGCACATGGCATGACCAGTCTGTCCCTGTGTACTCTAGTGTCACCTGCAAATATTAATAGATTACTTCAGCTGGTCACTTAAAATATGCTGGCATTTATATTCACCCAGATTGTACTTTCCAGACTGATGCATGTCCAATGTTTACAAATAAAAGTGATGAATATGATGATGATTTAGGCTTTAGAATGTGCTAGTAGTACGGCACCTATAATATAAAAATGTAGGTTATAAAAATATAACTATGTGCCAGGCCTGGGTCAGACAGCCAATAGCATAAAACCTGTAGAGCTTACCAAACCATTGAAATATAAATCATCACATTTTAAATAAAATTACTAACCTAAATAGCTCATGGTTAAATTATTATCACTTATCATCACTTAAAAGAGCTAAACTTAAAAAACTTACGCTGATAACATAATCCTAACAATTTATTAGGATGGAAAGGAAGAGCTGATCATGAACCATTTACACCAGCCATGGGCCGGTTTGAAAATGATCACTGACTGATATATTTCTGGAAAGTGAAGGAACAGAGGCATTCGGCTGACCCAACACAATTAAGATTGCCACAAAACATTGTTATTTGATGTTATATTTGTATGGTCTGAAAAAATGACACCTGGTAAAGCCAAAGCATGGCAAAGGGTCCAAATGATGCCAAACACACTGGGTCGCCCCTTGTATGTGAAGATCAGACTGCTAAAACATACATCATGTCAAACATGTATGTATGTATGTATGAATGTATCATGCAAACATGGGGTAGCATCAAGATCAACATGACAATTTCAGTGCACATCCATTGTAAACATACGCCCTTTGAGTTTTGAACACAGTGCGCACCAATTTCAGCACAAAACAAAGTCAATGTTTCCAGCAATTACTATGTGGCAAAGGTACTTCCAGGGAAAACTAAGCCTTGCAATCCTTTCATTAAAACAAGGATGTGAGAATCCATGCCCTGAGTTTGGCAACCACGAGTACAACATTAGTGCACTTATATCACACATGCACTGAGTGCAGGGAATGGACTTTTTGCAGGCTGGCAGGGAGGTAATATTGATCTCCAACACCAGTGCCACTCACATTTTAGGGACACCCCACACCCTCGATTTCACAGCGAAGGCTCTTCAGCCAGCATCTGAACCGCTCACAGTTTGAGTGACTCCTACCTAAAACCTGACAACACGGCACGGTAGTTCGCCGGCCGTCGAACTTTCCTTGCCTACCCAGGTGCGTAGGTACCTATGGAACTGCGCGTTCGCCGGCCTGCTGGAATGTCACACATTCGACAAACGTCCCATACAGACGCCCAACGACGGCTGAACTTACCCGTTAGTTTGTGTGAGCTACCATGCAAATACACGCCTCGTTTTCTTTCACCCGCGACTGCAACAGCGCGCGACACTGCGAATGCTTCCCATCCTCTTCCCGCGTCGTTTGCGTCGACTGACGGGGGCGAAATGTTCCAATCCTGAAATCCTCGGTGGTCTAAATTACTGCGATATTTTGTGTTCGCTACCTCATCTCGAATTCCTCACAAAGTGCATAAAGTCACCACATATTACGACACATAATGGGTAACTAGCGTTGAAAAAGTTGCAAAAATCGGCTCTCAGCAGATTTTTTGCAAATTTAGTATAATTCATATGTTGCTACCAACACGTTGAAACAAATGTGAAACCTGACATTGCAATAGAGTATATGGATGCGTTTGTAAAATAACGCGTCTGTTAAGTGAGTAAGCTATTTGGGCAAAATTAACCAGTCAATTGAACATTCTTAAGTAGCCGAGTATTCACCAGCGTGTAAAATAGCGTCTGTTGGAGAGTCCTCACCTCCCAAGGTCGTCTTTCAAGGTCAAATTCCAGCTCAAATAACAGTGAATTCCAAATCACCAAAAGTTATCAAAGATTTCGGATTTTAAATAATCAGGATATTCGCAAACGCATGAACTAGCAGTCCAGTTAAAAGCCCTAACCTCTCAAGGTGACCCTGCAGGACATAGGCTGAGAACGTTTTAAAAAGGTGGGAGGGGCCAGGCTGACCATAATGTCTAAAGACGAACCCCGGTGGCCGGCTGAAAACCCTTCGCTCGGGTGGGGTAGGGGGAGGAGTATTTGACCGCTCTGTAATCTCAGAAAATTGAGAAAGCTAGAGACAACGAATTCACGGGATGTGAATGTGAATGTGAGTTTACGTGAACTTACCTTGTTCGAAATTTTGACTTCTATGTCATTATTTTTGGGTCAAATAAAGTTAAACAAGGCCAAACTGCGGATTGGTGTCAAAAGTGCCCCAGAACCTAGATACCTATTTTAATCAAGAGACCACTGGTACATACTTAAGGTCAGTGACCTTATTGGACTTTGGGGGGTCATGGTGACCAAAATAACACAAGACTGCTTCGAGTTTTGCATTTCAATAAGCGCCAAAGACTACGCTAGGAGCGATGTTCATAGAAACAAATTGTCTACCCGGGTCATTTTCGGTCAGTGACTTATCCTGACCTTAAAGAAGTCTTTGAAGTAAAAATAAGTCACACACAGCACACTCTAGAGTAACAAAACAATCTGCTTTTGACCAAGGTCTGGCCTTTATACCTGCCTAGGTCAATGGGATTTTTCATTAAATTGTAGTGTTCCCTAACAAACCAGCTCACAGATGCATGGCTTGGTATTACACTCCGTCGTTGTATCAGATTGAACGTTTCTTTACGAAACGTTTTCGCTGAAACTATGGCCTATCTTTGGCCTGCTGTATGTCAACGACCTTACAAGGTTCATCTAAATTTTTAATACAAAGCGGTTCGCTATTCAACTGTCTACAGCTAGGCAAAATTTGACGTGGCCTCGCCGCGCCGTTCTGAAACCATTCCAGAAAAATGTTTGGGAGGGGGTCAAATTGATCCCCACTCGACCGCCCGTCAAGGAATTTTAAAATTCCAGGTAATTACCTGGGAGGCGAGCCCGGCGACCGGGGGGAGAGAAGATAGGAATGGATGACTTGTTGCCTCCTTAATTCAATTCACATAACACATTTTGGAATTCAGAAATATGCAAATGTCCTTATTGCTAGTAAGATATGCACCTCCAACTGTTTTCTTCTGGTGCGCAATCTTACATTATCGACTCAACATATACACGGTAAATAAAACTAACCAGATTTCTAGACATTTTCGCCCGTTTCAACATTGTTTCCGCTGGGGTAGCGAATTTTTGCGAGCGGGGAGGCATCTGTCTGCACAGTGTACACATCAAATACGACCTGGATACACTCTAGTCAGAATTTGGGATTAATATCTATGACCAATTGTGCGCCAAAGCCTGTGACCAACTTGGGGCCACTAGCCAAGACATGATCCTCTGCTATGCACTGCGGGCCCCTGGTCGATACAAGGGCCAAAACCACTATTTCAGGGACCCAGACCTTACCGGTGCAAATCGTGGCCCTCGGTCTTGCTTCTGCTCAGGAATGCCCCCCCCCCCCCCCCAGTGGTTCAAACTGACAGGGTTCAAACTGTTCGGTGTGCATGGTTTCTGACCGACTTAGACGCCCGCATTGTGCCAAGGGGTTCCTCAAACGATTCAAGAGAACCTACAAGTTACAAGAGAGAGAATACAAGTTACTGATATTTCACCTACGAACTTACGAGCTGTGATCCTTTATGTGACCTACAGCCAATCCTTCGGGCCCTTATGCCCTCCAACCGGGCCTTTGATAGTCGGTTCCATTGGACCGCCCGGGCCCCTCTTCGGGCCTCATCGAACACTGTCTTTGGTGGGCTCGGGGTCCCTGCGAGCTCAGGACCCTATGCTAGACGCCATGGGTTCCTAACCGATACAGGGACCTCAGCCAGTGTAAATCACTGGCCCGGCTTTGTAGCTGATTGTGAAGTGGGCGGTGGGGCTCATACCGATACGGAGCGCATTGTGCGGCACTGGTGCTGCCTGACCGACAAAGAAATCCTTCTGGACTCAGCGTACACCTGATCGGCACAAAGGGCCCTCTGAATGTCATTTGAGGGTCCATCCCCGCAGGCCGGGACTCCTGAATAAGACTCTGGCTAGCTCTTCGCACCCCTAGACACTCCAACCGAGTCCTTGATCCTCGGACCCCATCGGCCCTCCATACTCTTCAGACCTCATCGAATAATGCCTGTGGCCGACTTGGGGCCCTTGCCAGCACAGGGCCCCTCGAAATGCGCTATGGATCCCCGAGCAATATAAATCTCTGGTTCCGGCTTTGTCTCGGCTTCATAAATGGACGATCAAGCTCATGCCGCCACAGAGCCGTTAGTGCATTACTGGTGGTGTCTGGCCAACATATAGACCCTTAGCGACAGACGGATCCCTGATCAGCGTGCAGGGCCCTCTGGCTGGCATTGGATTACGCGGCCCTGCGGGACGGGTCCCCTGAATATGACCTTCGGTCGGCCTTTCGGGCTCTTAGGACCCTCTAATCGAGTTCTTCATCGGAGGTCCCGAGAGACCGAGAGGCTCGTCGGAACATAAGATGGGGCACGTGCCCTTTGTGCTTCCCCCCGTCCCCCACTTTGCCTGCGTTTTTTGGTTCAGACAAACCCTTAGGGCTCCTCAGAACCGACGATCAAGGTCTCGACTCGAAGGGGCCCGGAAAGTTGGCCAGGAGCTGTGTTAAGGGACCTCGGCCTGCAAATGTCCATCAGGGGGACTCTTCGCCGATTGGGGGCCCTGGGGGCAATGAGGGCCCGCCAGTCGATCCATGGCCACGACTTCAAACAGTCAGCCCCAAGGCGGCTTAGGACCCATTTCCAAAGCCGGGACCATCTTGGGGCCCGTGGTTGTCAGTCAGAGGACTTCTTGCATTGGCTGGGTCCCTGAGACAATGGGGGACCGCTGTGCCAGTCAGGGGCCACATTATGTCTAACAAGGGACCCTATATCGACAAGGGCAGCAAGTCGACCATGGCTCCGTTCTCTAAATAGGGACAGGAACGTGACCCCGAATGTCAGGAAGCCTGTTAAGTTGACCGGGCCCGCTGGTAGTGAAAGGAGATATGGTAGATGACAGCACAAGCTCCCATAATAAGGCAGTGAAAGGGCCCTCTGTCAGACACAGGCCCAGTAACGAACGTGGCCCCGAACCTCTATGTCATTTTGTTCAGGGGCCCGGTTAATCCGAACTGGAGTAATCTGCCCATTATCGGACCTCTGCGTCAGTGAACGATCCTTTGGCGTCAATGAGGCCCTCTGCGTTCATCCGGGATCAACTGCTCCAGTCTGCGAGCCTTCCGCGTCAGGGAGGGGACCGAACATGATGCATTCCTCTGCGGCCCTCCTGATCAACAAGGGGGCCCCTGCCACCATGTCTCCAGAACAGCGCCGGCAAGTGCCCCGGGTGGCGGGTTGGAGCGGAAATCCCCTTCAACCCCTGACGGGGAAAGGCAATGGGGCTCTGAAGTTCTACTTACGGCCTTCCTGTTAGCGAAAGGTAAGAGGGTCTCCTTAGTGTTTAATCCACTGGGCCCCTCAACAAACGAATAGGTCGGCACGATGATGACAAATGAAGAAACCTGGTGCCCCTCGAAATAAAATAGGCAAAATCTGGTGATTGTTTGAGGTGCCTTTTCACCAGGTGCCCTTTATCCAGCTGTATGCCGCCCCCGCTCCCTCTTACCAAAACTTTGGCCTCTCCCGTGGTATGAGATGGAGCTTGTGGAATCTGAGACAGGCTCTTCTTGGGCTGAAGTGTCTAGATGAACCCTTTCCGGACCTAAGATGCCCACTTCTTCAGTCTAAAATGTGTCATTCCATAAGTTAAGAAGGGCCCTACTTGAGTCTACGATGGGTCCTTTCCAGACCTAAGAAGGCTCTTTCTGTTTTCACGATAGATCCCATCCAAACCTGGGAGGGACTTGCTCCAAATCTGCGATGGGTCTGTCCTGATCAGAGATGGACCCTTCCAAGTCTACAATGGGCCCTTTCAGACCGGAAAAGGCCACTTCCGTGCCTGAAACTGTTAGAAGGGTTTCCTACATTTAAATTGATCCTTTCCGAATCTGAAATGGACTCTCTGTGGTTACTTTGATGACACACAAGAACCGAATCTCTTCCGCAGATCCGTCAGAGGCCCCATTTGGACCACCTAAAATCTGAGGGAGAAGATAGTTTTGGCCCTTTAGGCATTTTCCAAATCTGAAGTTCTCCGTTTCTCAGCCTACACTGGGTCGTACCTGAATTGAGCCGAGTCGTTTTTGAGTTTATGATTGACCATTTCCAGACTTGAGAGGCCCTCTCTGAGCCCATGATGGGCCACCTGAACACCTGATCCGTTCTAGACCGCCTGAAACTATGGAGGAGGGAGGAGCAGTTTACCTCCACCTCAAAAGAGGTGGGGGAGGGGGAGGGGGCAGTTTGCCTCCGCTGTCCCTCCCAGGATACGCCGCCACTGCC